TTTCGAATTTTCTTTTCTTTATATCTTGCTTTCCTTTCTTTTTCTTTTTTATTGTTTTCTTTTTTCATAATAGTTTAGCCTTTCAGTATTTTTCTTTCTTTCTTTCTTTCATTCATTCTTTCTTTCTTTCATTCATTCATTCATTAATTCTTTCTTTCTTTCTTTTTTCCATTACTTTTTCTCTTTTATTTCTTTTCTACTCATTTTTACTATTTTCCTTTCTTTTACCTTTTTCCCCTACTTTTCTCGCTTTCATTTTTGCCTTTTCATTTATTTTTCCCCAATTTGTTTTTCTACCGAACCATGACATTTAATCACCAGACTAAGTCTATAATAATTATCTGTTTGGTTACTCCTGCGTAATGTTACCTCGTGACGACCAAACGGATAATCCGAACGATCAGTTAATCCGGCAGATTGGATTGTCCGAGCTGCCTTCGATACTATAAGTGTCGCTTTTTAAAATATCAAAATGTGCCTGAGTCTGCCACAAGAGGTGATGTTGTTGCTTAATAAGCTGTCGTCTGCTTTAGTGGATTAGTTAATGGCGTTATTTATGAGTTCTCAAGGACACATGTCACAGTTGATAAAGGCAATAGATCCAGTAACAGGACCCAAAGAGTTGTGAGTTCAATACCTGGTTAAGGCGGTGGAGAACTTAGAGACGGGAATTAACAGGAGATAACTGTTAACAGAGATCCATTAGACATGGCACGTGGAACTAGAACAGCCTACTGCTGCGACATTCCAACCACCTGAAGAAGGCCGGAGCGTACAACGGTCGAAACGTTCTGATAAATATGGTAACAAAGATGGGGACAATAGTCTGAATAATGTAAATAGCATTATTTATGAGTGTCCAGTCGGTGATGAAAGGCCAGAAATGTTGATTTTCCAAGAATGCGCCACCTCGAATAATTAGCATCGTGCATTTATCTTCCTTTCACATTTTTTCTTTTGTTTGTTTGCTTCTTTCTTTTTGTTTGATCACGTTCTTTTTTATTATTTAATTTCGAATTTTCTTTTTTTCTTTTTGTTTTATCACGTTCTTTTTTATCATTTAGTTTCGAATTTTCTTTTTTTCTTTCTTTTTGTTTTATCACTTTTTTATTATTTAATTTCGAAGTTTCTTTCTTTCTTTTTGTTTTATCACGTTCTTTTTTATTATTAGGTTCGAATTTTCTTTCTTTCTTTCTTTTTCTTTCATCACGTTCTTTTTTATTATTTAGTTTCGAATTTTCTTTCTTTCTTTCTATTGTTTTTCTTTCCCTCACTTTCTTTTTTTCTTAATAGTTTCTTTCACTATTTTTCTTTCTTTCATTCTTTCTTTTTTGGTGTAGAACCATAGAAAGACAACACGGACTCGAATATAAGGTTAAATAGTATATTCTTGGAAACGTAGTACAAAGGTAATGGTGGACTGGAGAGTACTTTCTCTTTCTCTACTCGGTGACCCTCACTTGGTCACTCTCTTTACTCAGAGTTGGTAGCCATAGGATATAGGTGTGGAAGAGTCCATTTGTAGTTAGGTCCCCACAATACTTTCATTCATTCATTCTTTCTTTCTTTCTTTCTTTCTATTGTTTTCCTTTCCCTCACATTTCTCTTAATAGTTTTGCCTTTCTCATTCTTTCTTTCTTTCTTTCTTTCTCAAAGTAGAGTCCAATAGCGTTATAAAAACCTTGGTGAATTCCAGTAAGACATCTTTAATCATTTCTAAGATACAACGGTTCAGAATTTAATCTAACATATGGACAATTTGGCTTTTACAAGATTTGGCCAATTTTGCTGTTACATCCAGTCTCTTTCTTTCTTTCTTTCTTTCTTTCTTTCTTTCTTTCTTTCTTTCTTTCTTTCTATCTATCTTCACTCACTCACTCTCTCTCTCTCTCTCTCTATATATATATATATATATATATATATATATATATATATATATATATATATATATGAAGAAATATACTCTTATGGTGTGCTATATTTAAGTGCTCAATATCAGAGATAGAGCGTGTGTAAATATAAAAGTGAACATTGAGGTCAACACTTAGAGGCGACCGGCTGTTTCATGCCCGATGTTTGCATCGCCTCTAAATGTTGACCTCAATGTTCACACACACACACACACACACACACACACACACACACACACACATATATATATATATATATATATATATATATATATATTACATTAATCATTCATACAAAAAACAGATATAAAAGTTAATGATATAAATGGCGAGAATACATCTTCGCAAACAAATTTAATAAAGTACATTAACCCCGAACCTGTAGATGAATGTTATGATCCCTGTTTATAAATCCCAGTTGCTTAAGGTCTTTTTTTAATTTTTTTACACGCTTTCATCTTTTCATAAAGACATCATCAGGTATGGAAATAGATTTGTTTTTGTTTTTTCTTCTCGGTAATAACAGGACAACGAAAGAATAGATGTAATCCGAAATATGTTTTTAGAAATGTGTTATTGTTAATTGTAAGAATTTTTTGGGAGCGTGCGGTCGCAACACTGAGGTTGAATTTTTAAATTTTAAGTTTGCATTTTTGTACTCATATGGTAATAGGAGAATTCTTTTGTACTGGTAGGTTTTTCAGTCAATGTGGCATGAACTATTAAATTTATTAAATTTGTTTGCAAAGATGTATTCTCGCCATTTATATCATTAACTTCTATATCTGTTTGTTGCATGAATGATTCATGTAATGTAAATTGAACTGCACCACATACTTGATATTAAAATAACTGATCCGACGTGCAATTTTCGGATAATAACTGTGACATTCCTGTATTTATTGAACAATTTAGTTCATACACACACACACACACAAGGTATATTTAGGCAGAAAATATTAATCTAAAAATGTTTCGTTAAATTCAACCGACAATGTCTTTCTTTTTATTTTTTTTATATTTTCATATAATATAATATAATATTTTTATATAAATATATATGTATTTTATTTTAAAAATGTTAATAATTTTCTAGTTGTTTTCAGAAGATTTCGAGATTTCAAGTTGATATTTTATTTTCACTCATACAAGGCCCGAGAGCCACTTAAGGTAGAGGCTTACTGAATGAGGTAAGGAACTAATAAGAACATGGCTCATTGTTATGCTAATGTTTTTTTTTGCTTTTTTTTAGCAACTTGCATTATTGGAGAACTACCCTACGGACAGTCTATTCTACATTCAGTTTCTTTAAGATATGTCGAGGATATGATGGAAAACGAAGGGAAAAAACAGAAGTGAAATTGTCTGATTGGAAACATGGGGTGGGGGCATCTTTGGTAGCCATATTTAAAGAAAGTCTGTCGCTGTCGTTCGGCTTCTTTCAACGTTTAACTACGGTTACTTAATAAACTTTTCATGACAAAATCCAAAAAAGAATCTGCAATGTTATCGGTCTTCACCTGGCATATCGGCTTCAGTCATCTTTCCCTTCGTCGTAATGTATCTTACCTGTGCTTATATATATATATATATATATATATATACTTTTATGCTAATTGTTCTGATGAACTTTCCACTATGGTAACTAGACTTTATGAATGTAAGTGCAGTACGAGATGGGTGGCAAGGTCTCATCATTTTACAGTTGAAATTGCAAGATGTAACCGTAAGTTCTATGTCAACAGTTTCTTCTGTCGCACTTCTCGCTTGTGGAACTCTCTTCTGGCTTCTTCAAGTCAATATTGATCTTCAGAAATTTAAATGCAATATCAATCGTTGTCTTCTGTCTTAATTGTTGTTCTTTTATTGTCATCTCACCTTAACAGTAGTTATTTACACATTCTCTAACATTCTGTAATCCCCCCTTGCGTCTTAGTGACTTTATTGCCTTACTTGGGGTGAAATGAAAGAGTTTGACTGCGAAACAGTCTTTTGCTCTGTTCTTTGCTCAAAAAAATTTTCACATTACTACACGCACACACGCATACATAGACGCACACACGCACACGCACAGAGACAAAGAGACACGCACAGAGACACATACAGACTCACACATACATGCAGACACAGACACACACAGACGCACGCAGACACACAGGCACACACAGGCACACACACGCAGACAAACACATACACAGAGAGAGAGAGAGAGAGAGAGAGAAATGCACACAGACACACACGCAGACACAGGAGCGCGCATGCAAGTGCACACTCGTAGTCACACAAACACACGCACGCCCACACACAGACGCATGCACACCCATACGTTTAAATAAGCACATACATTCACGCAATCACGCAAACACATACACTCACACACAGTTACACACACTCTCGCATCCACTCTTATTTTCTCTTTCAAACACACACACGCACACAGACACACAGACAGACACAGGAACGCGCATGCGAGTGCACACTCGTCGTCAAACGCACACAGGCACGCACACACACACAGACGCACGCACGCACACACATACACTTAAATAAGCACATACCGTCACACAATCACGCAAACACATACACTCACACACAGTTACACACACTCTCGCATCCACTCGCATTTTCTCTTTCACACACACACACAACAAAATCACAAACACACACACACACACACACACACACACACACACACACACACACACACACACACGCTTACATAGATGAACTCACATTCGCATACGTACCAGAGAGGCATATCTACACATCTTTTTTTTTAAATCTCTCCAAAACCATGTTCTGACATCCATTTACATAAGCATCCTCGGTGGGTCATGAGTTGTTCTTCTCTGTTTTTCTTACCTTCAGTATATCCCGTGAGTGTCAATTTTTCCAAGCCCTCTTACCTCAGTATGTAGCCTCGAAATTGCAACTCTCTCTCTCTTTCCGACGTTAAGTATAAGTGTCCTCTTAGTTTCCATTTTCTCTAAAACTCCGCCGTTGCTTTCACGCTAAGTCCATGATATATCCTCAGCATCCTTCTGTAGAACCACATGTCTGTGGTTTCAAGTCACTTCTTCATCTGCGAGA